CTCTGGACTAGGTGCGTTCCTCTAACTCTTCCTACCAATATGACAAAGTTGCGAAAACAAGGTCAAACAATTTCCATATAAAGAAACGGGACTGTGACCACACAACAGGCCACACTATCTTGGTCTCCATACATTCGATTATTCAGTAGTTTGTTACAGATAGTTTCGAACTGGATGCTTGGTTTAATTATGGCTAAAATTGATTTGGTTATGAAGAACATATAAAATCCCACATTCTGCGAAATTAATTGGTTTTGATTAAGTCTGTGCGAATGAAGCCAATTTTTATATGCCCCAGGCAACAAATGCGTATTTTCATAACAAGAGTTTGAGCAGAGAGTATAGCCAGACGAAAAAATGGGCAAAAAAGCGAGACAAGTCATTTTTGGATACAAGTGAGGAAAATGAAAGAATTATTTGCATAAGTTTCAGTAATAGGAAATAAAAATGCCTGAGACAGAATATTCATTTAGTGTGGAGCAAGAGGGAATCATTTATGATTACAATCTTAACATATTTTGGTGCCGTTTACTTTATTTTATATTCATTTATAGTAGGTCTCAAAACAATCAGTAAATACATCTCGGGAAGCAAGGGAAATTCACTGGCAACGTGAGACCTAATCATATAATTGCGGGAAGATTAATCTATCAATCCTTTATCTCCTTATACAACCTAGAGTAAATAGAATTCTTATTTATTTTATCTTTCTTGCAATATAGAGTTTATTTGTCTCAATCGCGTCAATGACTTCGAGATATGGCATTTTTTAATAGGAGTTTGGGCCTCAAAACTCGATTTATCCTGGGCTTTAAGTCTTGTACAAACTAATCCTTTCATCCTGGGCTATCATATGGTCATAGACAAGTGGCGCCATTATTTAATATTATGTTCAGATTGTTGAATGGGCCTAGTTAATTCTCTGTATGTAGATACGATAATCGAAAGAAAAAGATACTTATAAAGCGAAAACCAAGTGTCTGACTTTCAAGCTATTTCCAATTCAAGCTCTAGTCTGAATTGCATAAATGCATGTACAAATGGAGAAATGAACCCAATGAACCTGTGCTATGCTTTCGTCTGTATACTAAACCAAGTGAAGTGGTAATCTATTCCAAACTTATTCACTGCGAGTGTATATATATATATGTGTGTGTGTAAACCAATTCACTTGGTTTAGTATACAGACGAAAGCATAGCACAGATTTATCGTGGTTGCAGTAAGGTGAGCCAAGGACTTTTGAGGACAATCCAATATTCTTAACTTCAAGGTAATCCTCTTCCATTGTTGAGCTTACTTCCCTTTTCGAAGGAAAGCATCTGGTGAATAGATTACACCAGAAGACGACGGCGAATTCCTCTTGACGAGCTGTCGATTTCAATGCTAGTACATTCTTGTTGACGCCGCTTCCAAAGTAATCTTCTTCGATTCCGATCCAGATGTGCTAAGTTTCGTCTGCCTTGTACCGAGCATCCTCCGAACAAGGCATTATCCTTACAACAATATTCAAGTTAACAAGTCAATAAAACGTGCCGGGTTAGCATTTTTCCACAGGAATCGAGGGAGATTGCCTCGGAAACAGCGTCAACAAGAATGTTTCAGTAAAGCCAACCACCAAACACTTTTATTTCGTTTTGAGTGGGTTTTTGTGACTACCCTGTAAATCAGTTATATGAATTATGTTCACCCTATTTTATTTGAGGTGATGAAAGACTGGTAATTGAATTTTCCCCTAATTATATGATTGGATCTGACGTTTCCATCGAATTTCATATAGCCTTGTCGAGATTACACATGATGGGGGTTTTGTTAAGACCTAGGCAAGGTCAAAATAGCTGTCCATCCTTGATGAGAACACCTTTTGGGAAGCAAGACTATGTGAAATTCAATGGAAACGTCAGTTCTACTCATATCATTATGGGAAAATTCAACTACCAGTCGTTAATCACCTTAACCGGAATAGGATGAACATAAGTCATAGACCAAACACTTTCACTCGAGTAAGTGAAAACAATTATTAACCAAGAGAGTTATCGCAACCTAACTTTTCTTCGCATAATCCTGCTTCAGTTTTTAAGTAGATAAATTCACGAATGCCTCTCAATCAACTTTTCCTCTGAAATAAAAGGTCAAGTCATATAAAACTTCGGTGCTTTATCAAAAAATGCTACTATTTGGCAGCAATTCTATGGATCACTGGGAGAGCTGAATGTGAGAATTTGGGTAAGAAGCCTTTCGCTTTGATTGTACAGCATTTGGGCGCAAGTGTTTTCGTATCGGATCAGTCTTGTTGAGTTGCTTTGTCGGTAATTTAAATCCTCATTTCTTCACGATAGGATAGAATTTTAATATTTCAATCTATGTCTCTGAAAGTATTCCGTTTTTTATCTCCTCGTCTGTCCAGGCCCACATTGGCCAGCCCGCATCTTCATATTCGCGCATTCCTGCTGGCAACCGGCTGCCAGACAATAGGGCAAAAGGCCCGAATCCTGGCAAAGTTCAGCATCGACATTCGCGGAAGCGTGATATCGATGCACTTGGTACTCCGTCCCTATCAAATACGACCAAGGCACCGCGACGCAAGGGAAAACCAGGCTCGGCTTCTCGGACTCAAGTCTTGAATGGTGCTGCCAAGGGAGTGGCGCTGGGCGCAGAGATGGACGCCGATAAACACGAGGGCGGTACAGCGGTCGGATCTTGTACCCTGGCCGAGGCAAAGAGGGATCATGCGCACAGCGGATACGCTCATTCACACCTACCCGCCCGATCGCATTCATACAGTCATTCTCACGACCACGGACATTCGCATTCACATGCACACTCGCATGCCCATGGACCTGCGTATACCTGCCGGTCAACAGGGTTGTCTGTACATCGGCCTACGCGCCGACGTCAACGGCGATCTGGAGGTCCCTCGACGCCCGACCGACATGAGGTCGCTACTCCAGCTCACCTTTTACATGCACACACTCACGCTTCTTCCAGGTGCTCTGTCTCCTCCTCCTCTGATTCGCCTCCACCAGTATCCTCTTTATTTCCACCCTCTCAGGAGCTCATTTCAGCTGGCGATCACCTTCATGAACAACAGATTCCACCCTTTCCGCATTCGGCGCCACAACAACCACACAAAAAACCACTGGCTCAGCAGCAGCAGCATCATCACCACCATCATCATCACCATTTACATCACCCACCTTCGTTTTCCGACCAGCATGGGGACGCTACCACGCGTCGACATCATCAGTCGCCACACCAACAACTCTGCGCCTCAGCAACAAGTGATACTACACTTGTTGCCTCAGCCGCAAATGCCAGTGGGAATAGGAGTAGTCGTGCCAGATCACTTCGTCTTCGTCAGTCATGCACTGGCCGATACTCTCGAACCCCGGAAGTTCTATCACATGAGGCTCATCTGCAAACTCACATGCCATACCGCCAGCAGCAGAAGCTAGCAGGCGGCTCTTCAGTCTCCGTCGGTGAGGATAATCGAGCCACCTTTGGCACTAATTCCATGACCGGGACCCGACCTGGGTTTCCATCGTCTCCGCTTACTCCATCTTTGATGGACAAATTGTTGGGAATAGGTGAGTCTATGACTATGAAGCCTTGGCCATTTTGCAACACGGCTCAACCACAAGATGTTTGATTTCGAGTCAGTAGGTCTAGAAAGTTTCAATATATCTTTCATAAGAATTCAAGTCTGTCTGGGTCGTTTAGATTGATGTTAGGATGGATAGCTGAATTTCTCTAAATAAACTGAGTTGACTCCATCAGGGCAAAAGAATTAGTGCAGTTACGGCCTCACTCGGCATTGTGTGTTTTACTCAACTTATTGTGAGAGGAATCATCACATCATTTTAGGCCACTTAAGGATAGCGAAATTTCTTTTCCTCCACGTATTGTCTGTACCACTTGATGTGGCTACACTTCTCTTTACCGGGCATCAAATCTGAGCAAGGTCGAGGCTTTAGGCACTAAAATGCTGTTTATAATTAGAGAAACTGGCTATCGTCAAAGATTGGTATTACGTAAAAATGATTATAGAGGCTGTTGGATTTGTCGATCAAAAGTTGCAGAGCACAATACAGAAAGTGGACCTGAAATGGATTGGCTCAAGACGCCTGTTGGAAAAAGCAAATTTTGAGAGGCCAGTTGAAACCATTGACACACAAATTTTTATTTCGAAGGAAAACTTGGTTGAAAGAAGTTCGTAAAGGAATGGAGTGAAGACTGTTGTATTTTGCAAAGAAGTCCACGACTCATTATGTTTAGACCCCGTTGAACTCATTCTAAGCTTTGTTTTTCATGTGACAGACATCGTCAGAACGAGAAAGTATCAGCTACCCTGTCGCTTGCTAGCCCTCATCATGGGCTTGAGTGGAATAGTAACATCGCCAAGATATTCACGACTCGGCATTGAATCCCGCCAGGGGTGCTGATGAAACTGCAGTCTATTTCGGACGATATAGCTTCTTGGGAGGCAAGGCTAAATGGAAGTGGATTGACCTCGTTGTCGCAACTTGGTCTTGTGTTCAGGGAGACTATGTAGAACGCACCGAGTCCGAAGTCATCTGCCATAGTAGA